GGGGGGGGGCGGTGAGGGGGCCGGGGCCGTGTCCGCGCATGCGCGGGCACCTCACCCGTTTACGTGGAGGTGGTTGATGAGCTTGGTCCCAAGCCCTGTTTTTCTTTTCTAATTTCTTCCTTGCTTAGGAAACAGCAGACATGACTAACCGAGAAGAGGCCGAGGTACAAATTTCGGAATTAGACTTACTCGCCAGCATGTTTCCTTACGAGGAAGAGTTCACCGTGACTGACCAGCTGGCTGTAGCAGAACTAAAGCACTATGTTGAAAATGAGTCTGCAGAGATGCCGTCTTCAAAAGTTCAGTTTATACTGAATGTAAAACCAGAGGTCTCTAATGCCTCTATGGTATCGTAACCACCCTTTTTTAATTTTTATTTTGTGGGATTTTAGGGCTTACGTGAACTGAACATCTGCTCATTTTTTTTTTTTTTTAGGTGGAATTCTCTATGGCCTGTGCCTTACCACTTAAATATCCAACTGTTCTACCAGAAATTACTGTGAGGTATGGCATTAAAAGTACAGCTAATAAAAGCACTTAGAAGCCATGGTGTACTACATAAATACAGTTACAACAGGAAAAAGCAGTCCCTTTTTGATGGTTTACTGTCACATTAAGCCAGATGGACAACAATGTGGAAGAAAAACAAATCTCCAGGGTTTTGATTTCTTTGGTGTCCTCAGCAAATAAGTGAGAAAAATGGGAAAAGCGTGGAGGAGTCCCGTCTTCTGTACAGAGGGGCTACATGTAGATACTGTTCATAGGTCTGATGCTCAAGAAGAGAGACTGTTGTCCATTTTGACAAGGCTTAACACTAACTAAAGGAGTGAAAAGTTAGTTAATGGTCTTATTCTTCCCTTGTCAAAATGCTGTTACTCCCAGGCTTCTGTTATTTTTTATTGGAACATTTATGTTTAAAGCAGCAGCCTGCATATTACAGGAAATTAGTTCAGCCACCATACTTACTTTTCAAGTACCTTTTTATTGATTTTAATTTACAGATTGGTAGTACTATATGCAAACTCAAGAGTTAGCACACCAGTTAAATACTAATTGAGAGCTTTTCATAGCTAATATGACTTAAGTATCAATAGCAAGTGCATACCATCTAAATATGGCCTTATTTTTTTTGGCAGCTTGAAGTAAAACTGTTTGAAAAACATGCTAAATTGTAAGCCTGTTACAACTGCATTTGTATTTTTCTTTTTCTTTAGGTCATCATTATTAAGTCGCTCTCAGCAGATTCACCTGAACTCTGATCTAAAAACGTATTTGATGCAAAACTGCAGTGGTGAGCCCTGCATGTTGAGTGCAAGGGAATGGGTTAAAGACCACGCCGCTGCTTACATTGACAAAGAGCTTTCGTCTTCCTCAGTGACAACGTCAAATGCCATGCAGTCAGAAGACATAACATTCACTCGATTGTGGATCTATAGTCATCACATTTACAACAAGCAAAAAAGAAAGAATATTATTGACTGGGCCAAGGAGCTCTCTCTGTCAGGGTTTTGCATGCCGGGGAAACCAGGTGTTGTTTGTGTAGAAGGTCTACAAAGTAGTTGTGAAGAGTTCTGGTCAAGGTTAGTTTTTCTTTGTGCTTAAATGCCATTAGTAGTTAGAACATTACATGTTTCATGTTGTATATGTGGCCACAAGGTGGGAAATCCAACCGCCTTCCAACCTATAAAAGTCTGCAAAGTATTTGTGTTTATCATAATGTATTTACAGGTCTGAGTATCCACTGTACTGTTGGTTACAGCAATCAAAGCTACGAGTACTGCACGGTGCACGTTTATTTCTGTTTTACCTTCCTCTGTATTTCAGTTGTATAGCGATGGACTGCAGTACCCCAGTCGTGTTAGATACGTATGCTGTTACATCGCTTTACGTTTGTGTTCTATTCTGCTCCCATCATTTATATTTCTGGGTGATGCAGACTAAATGAACATCGTCGTTTGATTATAACAGCTAAGAGGGTAGGAGAATATGAGAATTCTTAGCACAGGCAAGGCAGAAGTGAACACTGAAATTGAAACCACATCTTCATCGATTATTTTGTGAGGAATAACATTAAGGTTTTTGAATCCCGGGGAGATATAAAGAAACAAGCTCCTGCTTATGGGAGTGTTTTCGTGTGAGTAGTGTTTCTATGACCAGCTAGGGAACCATTATTTCTGTCAACATATATGTACAAATGGAATTTATTGACTTCTGTGAAAATAGCTATTTCATAGTATTTTCTAAAACAGCCTTTATTTTATAGATTCATATTTCTCCAATTGCTTTCAGAGTAAGAAGATTAACGTGGAAAAGAATTCTCATTCGGCACAGAGAAGATGTTTCTTTGGAAGGTGGAGGACATGCTGAGATTCAGAAACAAAGGAAGTTCTCCACTCTGGAAGAAAAATGTTTTGATGCACATGGTGCCAGAGGAAATCATATGGATTTGGGGCAGCTATATCGTTTTTTAGAAGAAAAAGGATGTGCTGACATTTTTCAAATGTACTTTGGGGTTGAAGGGCATTGAAGGGGTTAAAGATCACCACAGGCACAAGTTGTGATCTTTGGAAGTTAATCCTCGTAACAGATTCCTTAGCTGTTCTGCAACAGTTGATCAGAGAGGGAATTAATGATTTGTGGTTTATATGATGAATCCAGTTTTCAATGAAGACGAATATTCAGTGAAATCCTGAATAATGAAAATGACTAAATGAATGCTTTATTACACTTTCTGGTTTTAAGGACATTTAGGGCACACATCTAATTACAATGAAAGAAAATATGTTTGATGACCTACTGGGCAGTTAGAGAATTATAGATGAATGAATAGATGGAATTATGGTGAAAGTATACATGAATAAGAAGGGACAAAAATGAAGTGTGAATATCTCAGGAGAGGAAATGTGATGTTTACATTATTTGTTACTGTTTACATACACTACATGAAGACTTTTTTGTAAGAATCTTTTCTTCTACTTTCTACCTGAAAGCATATTAAGCCATGAGATTAATGTTTTATATTAAAAAAAAAAAAAAAGGAGGGACGAAGTTCACAAAAGCCTTCTTCATGCAAACAGGATGGGCTAGGATGCCTACTCTGAGGCGTAAGAATTTTCCATAGGTGAAACTGTGTGTGCGGGTAAGACAGATACTGTAGTGGCTCCACGACATCTGTAGCTGAGGAGTCGAGGCTGTTTACTCGTGGAAAAGCAGAAGCTTGCCAAGGATCGGGCTCTCTTACAGCACCCTCCAAAACAGTAAAACGATCCTTACCCTGCTGAGTCCCCAGGTCTGCAGTCCACTAATTTGAAGCGCGTTATGCTGCAGATGTTTTTGAGCCTGGTTTCAACAAAGTTGTGTCAATGAAAATGACTAAATGAACGCTGATTTGTTTCTTTGCTTATGGATTCTGTGTCTAAATGACGCACATGTCATAAAAAGCGGACATTCGTTGCTTCTGATGTTGATTAATTATTTCTGCGTGGATCCCATCGAATGCCTAACGTTCCGATCTCTGGCACGGACTGGGACACCTTTCGCAGCGATGCTTGGCGGTGATTTCATTCGACCAGCGCAGATTTGCCTCTATTTGACGCTTTGCCGACTCGTCAGTCCTTGTAAGCGTACAAGAAGACCACAGCTTAATAAAGGACCCGGGATACACTTGAAGCCTCCGCGCCTTTGAGATCCATTGATGGGTATACGAAGCTTAAGGCCATTTCAACGAGATGACATCGTCACGTGTCACAACAACGCGTTGGCGATTACTAGAACTGCTTGCCATTTTCCCGCCGGCACCGGCTCGCTCGCTACAGACACGTTGCGAGG